AAAGCCATACATCTGAGTTTTGAGTGGGCGCATTTCGCCAGTATGCTGCGTTGCTGTTTACATGCATGAAAAGTGTGTTTGAGAACGAGTCTGATCGCAATATTCTGGCCCGCCTTCACTTAGGGCGGGCACAAGTCTGTATGGGGCCTCAGCCGAGATGTAGGTGAGCCCTAGAAGGGCCACTGCAAAGATTCAGGCCGCATGTAGATTCCAACTGTTACAGCCCTTCAGCGTGATCACACTGGCCTGTACCCAGGCCTTGGCACGTATTGGCAGGCCCGCCTTCACTTAGGGTGAGCAAGGCCTTTTCCAGCACTGGAGAGGGCTCAAATCCTCGCATACGATGATAAGGTGGATTTGAAAAAAGAAAAGAGCTAGAGCCTGGAAAATGCACCCGCCATAGCTTTTGTCTCTTTCACATTCGGCCCAGACTCACATTAATTGAGAGAGGTAGGGAGGAAAGTTATGCAGGCAAAGGAGGGTTACCGCGGTTCCTATCTCACCCTAGAGTGTAGCAGTAGCCATTTTTCTTGCAATATTCAGTCGGCCACTGCTCGCACGAGTTAAGGAGGCCACAGGGATTGTCGGACTCGAAGTAGTGCCGAATGCCAGAGAAGTCTTGATCAATCTGTATAAGGACATGCTAAGGCAAGTGCAGGTGATCCCAGAACAAGCCAAGTACAGGCAAGATGTGGAGAAAGTCGCAAAGGTATCGACTTCGTGTGTGGGAGAAAGAGGAAGATTGGGAGAAAATTGAAAAGCGCATTGGCTGCGAGCAAGTGGAGGAGCTGATCTGGCAAGCCAAAGACGAAATGACTCTGATTCCGAAAATGGCAGAACGGAACCCGTGGGAGGCTCCACCGAATCATCACATTGAGTTCGTTGAGGAAAACAGTCCAGTACCAAAGCATATTCCAACACACATTCAGTAGTGGCACCTGTAGCAGCAGCGGCAGCAGCAGCAGCAACAGTCACCCAATGCTGGCCACCTTGAGCACACTGGGGGCACATGAGCAAACTTTAAGATGTATGTTGTGGAAGCGTTGGCACGTTCCATCAGACCAGACCAGAGAATAGAGTTCACTGAGGACACAACGGCATGATCCCAAATTATGCTCCTTAACATACATCCAAGAGATGTACATAGCAGTACCGGCGGAAGCGGTGCCAGCAGTGGAAT